TATCAAAAACACAATCCCATGAAACACTATAAAATTCATGTTCACCAACATCCCTTCCCCCTTTAGACAATAGTGATCATATATCGCTGCTCTGGATACCAAAGAAATACCAACACCCACGCAACTAATGGGAACAAACTTCATGCGCAGATTCCCTGATTCTAAAATTCGCGAGTTTGGATCATGGATTAGACATGAATTATGAAAACACTCTACATTGTTGATACTATGGTAGAAAAACCCACAGTGTAAAAAACTAAATTTATTGGAAATAAGACAACAGTTTCGAAATCCACATGGATTCCATCCTCAGGTCTGAAGAGGAAAAGGAGAGGAGGGGGTATAAAAGAGAGAGAGGAAAGGCAGCACGATAACACGGGGCAGGTGAGGACAGACGAACAGAAGCAAAGGGAGGTCAGATCAGGTCGGAGGGTCGGGCGGATTGTGTGCATGATGGCCGGCGTACAGGAAAAGGTGGAGGATGTGGGAAGCGAGGAGACTGTCGGCAGGAGAAAAGCCACTGTTCAGGTTGAAATTAAGCAGCAGCTCTATTAAGGAGGATTCCACCAGTCTGCAGGCGTGGACGTCAGTGGAAGGAAAGACAATTCGCGCCGCTGACCTGTATCTGGCCTGTATCCCACTGATGGCAGAAGAGAGCGTTGTTGTTGTGTCCCCTGGATGTAGCGTACTTATGTCTCGCCAAAGTATTGCTTGTCACAGGAGGTACAAGGAACAGCATAGGTGCCCACCTTCGAGGAAAAGGGAGGGCTGGTGTGGACCAGGTTATGACGGAGAGTGTTCACCTGGCGAAAGATCAGCCTGCAGTTGAGAGTGTGAAGAGGGCGGCGGAGAGAGTCGATCTCCGTGTAGGGCAGGCTGAGGATGAGCAGGTGAGGAGTCTCTTTAGGAGAAGATTTGTGGTAGAAGGTCCGCCGTGCTCTGGATAACGCGGCGTCGAGGATATGACGAGGGCAGCCCAGTTTGGAGAAGACCTGGAAGTCGATCTCTCCATCCAGGTCCGAGAACAGACAGGGTCATGAGGCCAGAGAGCGAAGACGTCGTCAACATACCTCAGCCAAACCGTCGGACGAAGGGAGGTGGAAGAGAGAAGCTCAGACTCGAAGAATTCCATAAACAGGTTAGCCAAGACCGGAGAGAGGGGAGAGTCCATGGCAACACCGAAGGTCTGGGAGTAGAAACGACCCTCAAAGGAAAAGGAATTCGATTCCACACACAGACGAATCAGCTGGAGGAAGATGTCGGTGGGTAGAAGGAGACAAGGATCCTCTGGGGGGAGGCTCCTCTCAAGGAAAGCGAGGACGTCATCTAGAGGGACCTTGGTGAACAGGGAGTCGACATCCAAGCTCATCATGGTCGCCGGCGTGACACCACGGACACGGGAGATGAAGTCCTGGGATTGACGGAGGTGAGCAGGAGAGAAGGTGCCGAGAAGGGGAGTGAGGGACTTCGCCAGCCAAGCTGCCAGAGGGTGCGTCACAGATCCCCGGGAAAAAATAATGGGACGCAGGGGCACGGCCGGCTTATGGGTTTTAGGAAGCCCATAGAAGTGAGGGAGGCGAGGGTTGATGACCTTGAACCTCTGGTAAAGGTTCGCCTCCGGGAAACGAGCTGTTATCACCTTCAGGCGACGGTGGAAAGTAGCAGCAATACGTTCCCGGGGGTCGCTGGTCAGGGGGGCGTAGGTGGAAGCGTCATCCAGCAGGTCAGGGGCCTTCTGCAGGTAGGAGGCACGGTCGAGGACCACCACCGATTTGCCCTTGTCAGAATGGTGACATCCTCCCTGTGCAGGCTTTGAAGGGACTCACCGTAACGCCTGGGGATGGAAGGGTTAGGATGGAAGAGAGATTCGAGGGCCGGGATGAAGGCACCACGAAGGAGAGAGACATCAGGCAAGGAGTTCCTATGAGAAGAGATGAACCGGTCAAAGGATGAAATAATGTCGATGGAGGTTAGGGGGTGAGGGCGGAGAGTAAAGGAAAGAGCCAAGGAGCTGTTGCTGGTGGGCGGTCAAGGGCAGGGAAGATAGGTTGGTGACAGCGTCGGTGGGGGAGAAGCGGGACAGGGACTTCGGGTGGTGAGGCCACCAATCACGGCCGCTCTCTCTCCCGGAAACTCTCCAGCCTCACCACCCGCAGTCCCTGGAAACTGTTGTCTCATCTTCAATAAATCTAGTTTTTACATTGTGGGTTTTTTTCTACCATAGTATCAACACGGTAGAGTGTTTTCATCATTCATAGATATACATGTAAATGAATATATATATACATACATACACACACACACACACACACACACACACACACACACACACACACACACACACACACACATATATATATATATATATATATATATATATATATATATATATATATATATATATATATATATGTATGTATATATACATATATGCAATATAATGTATATAATATATACATATAATATTTATGTATATATGTAACACAAATAAAATACATAA